TGCTTTCGAAGTTCGACGGAGGGGAGAAGAAAGGATAAAGGACACATGGATACGCGGATATTAGGTGCGTGCTTTCCCTATACACGTACATGTACATGTAGCTGCATCTAATGTTTGGCATTTAAGTGGCCTTTGTAATAATAATAATAGTTACAGTTCGCATGTCACTCATAGAAGGATCCATGTGCTTGACGCATCTGACTATGCAATCCAGGCAGAAGAGCCAACAAAAGGCATCTCAATATTGATAGAACATATCGCAGTAAGAACAACTACGCAAATGCAGCACATTTTTTACACAGGCATCAGCCATATTTCTTGTCTAGAGCCAGTTCAAAACACTAAGAAATATCAATATTGGCGTGGGGTGGGTGAAAAAAGTTCAAAAAAATGCAAAAGTGACTAGCTACCACTCAACTCTAGCCATTGGCGGACTATGCTCGGCCAATCGTCAATTATGCTTTTGATTATGCCACAATTATGCCAACAAATATGCTGAATTATGCTGAATTACGCTCGGTTCCACTATGTATTCACGCTGTACATAGAGGATTGAGAAACCACGCATACACACACGGCCATGCCCTAAGCATGATTTTTGTCTAAACCGAAAGATTATGCCGACCTTACACGTTGGAATCCGGATATTATACCGTAGCATAATATTTTGACGAAATCCCAAGATTATGCCAAATATAATGCCGGCATAATCCGCCAAGGGCTAACTATAACTACAGGTGGAAAATATTTTTTTGTTTTTTTAGCTATACCAAGCCTCTTTTAGAGACGAAAACCAAATTAAAACGCAATAACAATGGATTAAAATGCACTGGAGAAGAAATCAGGAAAATGCATGTGTAAAATAGAATTTGAGAAATTGAGAAATAATTGGTGTCCTCGTCCTAGTTTCTTTTTGTTCTCCACATGTTTTCGAGTAGGGCTGTGTTAAAGTAAAAAAATGCGCCCGACAACCACAATGTACGCACTAGGCTTTCAACAGCTGGTAGTGGTACAACCCTAGAGAACGAGAAAGTGAAAACGAGCTCAACGCGCGCGCGCGTGTGTGTGTGTGTGTGTGTGTGTGCGTGTTTTTTTACTACCTATGTCCTTATACTCAGGTCGAAAGCAATAATGAATGACAGGGGTACGGAGACTAGGACAAACGTGACAACGTGTGCAGATACATGATAGCCCTTTCCCAAAGGTGCTCTTTTAATTCGCACTTAGTGCTTTTCGTGTCCCTCAAAATATGCTGAAAAAGTGCTCTTTTTTCAGTGAAAACAGGCAAAAAGTGCTCTTTTTTCAGTGAAGCATAGCCATGATACATGTTCAGATACAAATGTATAAACCCAAGCTGAGAAATGAATACGCACTCTTCCATTTATGGGCCCACGAAAGGCAAAACAGGAAGTAAAGTTCAAAAAACCCACTTTTTACAGCATTGTGTACACCGGGTACAAGCTTCACCTACTAACTTGTTGCCCCAAAAAAGCGGCGTGCCAAGGCCCATCGAGCACTCGGAAACTGTGATCGCATGCATGAGCAAACAGATTTAGCACTTTTTAAGCAAAAAAAGCTAAAAAAGGGCGATATTCACCAAAAACGCAATGAAGGGCGAAAGAAAGGGGCTTTTCCAAAAAGGGCGAAAAAGGGCGAAAAAAGGGCGAGCACCTTTGGGAAAGGGCTACATGCCGAGCCTACTTTATCAGTCCCTCTTTCATTGCTCTGGCGACACTGTCTGGCATGTCGCTCCGAAAGAGTGCCCGCCAGAGCTGAATCACATGGTCGGCGAGCCGCTGTCGAAGTCTGTTGGCCAGCACCACTTCCGTCCGCCAACATGTCCTGGTGAGATATGCAGAACGAAACATGTTGGCTGGGTTAGCCTCGTAGCGTGATCTCGTCGTCAACGTGCGTGCCTTCCGTTGTGGTAATAACATACGAGCAGCCTTGATAGAATGGCTCGAAATGCTGCTGCTACCGCCGCTCTTCGATAGCGTGGACAATGTGGACTTGATTGTGCGCTCCATGATGACATCTCGTCGATCGCCGTATCCGCCGCAAGCGCGAAGCGTGGTGTGCACCACTATGACGTCACGTTGCAGACTAGTGACGTCCTTGTCAGACAGGAAAGGCATATCCGGGACGCCTTGTCTTAGACCTGCGGATGCTAATTCCGAAGCGTGAGATTTGGGGCCCCAGGATCGCTCATAGCTCTGTAACACGTCTCGTCTTCTGCTGCTGCTTCGTCGATTTGGACGACAATTGCGTTGAACACCAGCTGCAATAGACTGTGCCTTGCTCACGTGACCTATCACGCGCTTTACGATCTTAATAGCGGCACAACACGGCACGCCAGCCACTGGGAATGCTATTGATCCGACCGTGCAGCACACCAGAGACACAACCGTCGACGCATGCTTTAAGCCGGTCGCAATTTTGCGGCCTGTCTTGCTGGCCATCGCCGTCAGTACGCCCGCGCCGCCCTTCTTTAGACCCTTCACAAACGTGCGCCATGCCGCCTTTCCACCGCTGTGTAGTTTCCGTCCCACTGCCTTCAGGCGCTGGAAGATACGACTGGCTAATCCTCTACGTGACCGTCGGTGTGGCGTTGATGGCCTCGTCTCAGTCGAGGACACCATCGTGGCTGCGTTGACATGGCCTTCGCCGTGGTGTCGAATGCCATCAGGTGGCGAGACCACGTGATCGTCCTTTCTTCCAAGCACAGCTAGCGTGATAATCAGCAGAACCAATGCATTGATGGTGAGACGATGCATTCTGAGGGCGCTGCAGAAGACCGATCCTATGCAACAGTGTGCTCTTCGGACGAGATGAAGCAGTCAGCCCCCGATCACTTTCTGTCACAGTGGACGTAGACATCCACTATCTAGAATACATTATCATGAAGACGTATCTGCTGACCGCAACAACACAACGCAAGATTGACGGGATGGAGGTCGCTTCGTGTGTCGATCGGAGCTGAGGGCCACAACTCGCGCTTTGCCCGCCAGTGGACCAGCACCCCCGGATCACCACTACATGTACTCGGCAGAGGCAATAACTCGCAGCGGATTTCTTCCGGAAGAACGCTGTGTTACACTGTGTTGGGCAACGATGTGCTGAGCCTGGTACAGATCAGAATAGAGCTCGCACCGAGTGAAGGACGAGCAAGGAAAAGAGGTTGGGGAGACAAATGGGACAATTTGATTGCAATACTGGGAGGGTTACCTATGCAATCATGCTGCCTGGCCTGCATGGTAAGAATGCGAGAATCTGAAAAGCACTCGACATGTTAAATACCACTACTGTTCATGCACTCTACTAGCACACTGCGATGGAACTCACTTATTTCGTTCTCCGAAAAGATGACTCATAGCCTTGCTTAGTACGTACACTGTCCAGAGTACGTGTGATATTGACGTCATGACCCATACTGAAGTATGTTGGGATAAGAAACACCTCGGATACTAAGTCCATCTAAACCTTCCCGATGCCCCCAGGGTATGTCATACCAGCGTTCCGCTGTAGCGTGCCTTGCATACTACAGTGCTTGCAACTGAAATCCGACCAACGAGCCGTGCGCTCACATCGCAAAGACCCCACACGGGATAGCAAAACTACGAAAATAGAGACCGCTAGAATGTGAATGCACCGCTAAGCGGTCGGATTTCAGTTGCCAACACTGTGGTAACCATTGCTTGCATACACTGTATATGCTACAGTGTAAATGTACATGCTACAGTGTATATGCGCATACTGCAGTGTACATGTATATGCGCATACTGCAGTGTAATATGCGCATGCTATTGAAATAAAGACGTAGACTCCCTCGATGTGGGGAATCCATAAACGCAACTACAAGATTGTTGTTCTTCGCACGGCTAGTCAAGCATGTCCAGGTTACTCAAGCATGTCCTGGTTACTTCCGGACTCCGCTCACTGGCTCGCTTCAGGCGTGAGGGCGTGAAGGGCGGATTGCGCGTGCTGCGAGTCTGCAAACCAGCATTCAGGTAGCCAAGTCGTGTGCCGATGACCACACTGACTTCAAACCTGGTAATACAGAGATCACATGTCAAACATCCTAAGAATTGGTGTATTCTATAACGCATCCATATCGTGTTATCTATCCAACAAGGCTAGGCTTACATCAATCACATTACACTCCACGTATACATGCAGCTGCAATCAATGCCAAGATTTGCATCACGAGGGTGAGCAGCAGCTTTCGGCCTGTTGATCAACAATAAAATTAGTTCCACCTCCATATAAGCGCATGTGGCGGTGGTGGTAGTGGTGATGGAACGAGGTGCATCGCAAAAACAAATCTACGGTTCCGGTGAGACTCAGGTAACTAACTGGGCTCTCCGCATCCGCACGATCGCCATCGCCTAGCTTCTAGGATGAAGATGCAGATGCAGCTCCTAAAGCGGTGAGAGGTGAGTAGATCAGATCCACCAAAATGGAAAATCCCATTCGCTGCATCCATGCATCATACAAGCAAACAAACGAATGCCCTTCAACCTGCCCTTCGATCTTTGAACGTACGTGATTCAAAAACAATTCACGGTTCGCGTTCGCGTCAGACCCGGCTAGAGGTCGAGTTTTCAACATCCGTAGGAATGCCACCACCATTCAAGGATCAAGGCGCAGATGCAGCTCCTAAAGCAGTGGGAGCTGAGTAGATCAGCTTACCAGCAAGTGGTCAAAGACCGAAAATCCCATTCACTGCACCCATGTTTTCCTCGTGCCAGGCCACGAGTCCCCAAATTAACTGTGGGTCGCAGCACGGCTGGCAAAAATCCTTCCGCTTCCAAGCAGGACTTGGACCTGGTACCCTGTTTCTCAATCATGGTTTTAGAACATCCCACAATGCCTGCCTGTACGTACATGAGCGTATCTTCAATAATCCCGAAGCAATGGATATCATCATCTTAATCCACACTCTGCACCACATGTACTCCCTAGCCGACCTCGCTCACCACAACCGCACCACAGCCCCAAAGTTGAAGAAGACAATTGCGGTCATTCCTTCACAATGCTCATTGCGTCATACAGATGTTATCAGTGAACTGATGGTAGCGGGAGTACAAGTAGTGAAAGGCGAGAGCTTACGAATAGCGCTCTTTTACTCAATCTCTGAACAACAACAACAACATGCTGTTACAAACCCTGCTAGGTCTCCTCAGCAGAGCTTGGAATCACTGGCAAAACCGATCGCAATGAAGTCTACTGAAAAACAAAGCATTCTTAGACAGGATCCAAACGCTAAAGTCAGAGTGCTCTAACTGCGATAAACAAAGCGAGCTTTGCACTACAAGGGTAGGTTTTCACGCTAACTACAATGTAGATTTTATTTTTATTTTTTATTAGAGAGAGAAAGTTCGTTGAGGTGCTAACATCACAAGCATCCAGGAAGTTTGAACGCAAAACGGGCGCAAATAATATGAAGGCAGGCCATGGAACAGCTTCTTGTACATCTGGTGTCCTGCTCCGCAACATCATGTGCCAAAAGGAGTGATCTGATAGGCTTGGAAGTCACTGGGACCGAGGCGATTCAACCAGAAATTTGGGCGTCCTTCCCAAGGGCAGGACCGGTTCGGGTAACTAGTAATACCTGATTGCCTGTGGGAAAGTAGTGGATTGAAGACCACGGGTGAGGTCGACCATGAGCTCGCTTAGCTGGTGAAGAGCTGACAGCTGCAGGGATGCACACCATACTCCTGATGGTCGTTGCGCACCAACTCTGCATGCTCCTCCTGCAACTGCAGTCGAGGCGGAACAGAGAGGAAGTCGTTGACGACGTGTTTGGCATAGTTTGTCCTGAGGATAAGGCTTCCTTACGCGGCCATACGTGAAGCGTCGAGGCGGCTGTTGCACGCTAACCATATCTCGCATTGAGTAAAGCGTGGAATTGGCCGCTGTGACGGCATTTGGGAAACGGTGGCTGATGACTTGGTGCGCGATTGGTTTCCGGTAGATGCCCGACTGGCAGGTTGTTTGCAGGCTTGCCATGGAGCAGACCACGTCTTGTAGGCGATCTACTAAGCTGATCATATGAGGTGTAGGGTAGGTGACAGATGGCATTGGATAACGGCCATTGTTTGCGTAGTACACGTTCGAGTACATGTAGGTAGGACTACGACGGTGTTGATCGTCACTAACCAGTGGTTTGGCTATTCGCTGTGCGAGCCGAAGCCCGTTGAGGACCTGCTTGCCCACCTTGGCGCCCTTGCAGCATGACGGGCCGTAAACAGGCACTGCCATTCCCACCGTGCAGCACAGCCCACCGACCACGTTTACTACTTTCCCCATCTTGTCCAGCACTTTGATGAATTTCTCGTTCAGTAGCGTCTTCCTCACTGCCTTTGCCAGGCGTTTGGGGATGAACTTTTTGGCGGCCTTGCTGACAAGCCTACCAGCTCCTTTAGCGACGAGCGAACCGATTCCTTTGGCAATCAGGCCACCTGCTCCTTTCGTTGCTCCAGAGATGACCTTGCCAACGCTCTTCCGCAGGCCCTTGGTTGTCTTGGAGATGATACGGCCGATGCCTTTAGTGGAAATTCCTTTGGTGAGCTTTCCAAGTCCTTTCGAGGTTCCTTTGGCAAGCCGCCCTATCCCCTTTCCGGTGCCCTTGCTTGCTCGTCCGATGCCCTTAGTAACTTCCTTGGTCGTCCTTGCAACAGTTCGTACCACACGCCTGCCAATGCGACCTGTTAGCTGGGCTGCACCCTTGGTTGTCCTGGCAACAGTCCGCAACAGACGCCTGCCAATGCGACCTGTTAGTCGCGCTGCACCCTTTCTTGTCCTCGCAACAGTCCGTAACACATGCCTGCCAATGCGACCTGTTAGGCGGGCTGCGCCCTTGGTCGTCCTGGCAACAGTCCGTAACACACGCCTGCCGAGGCGATCTGTTAGCCGGGCTGCACCCTTGGTCGTCCTGGCAACAGTCCGAAACACACGCCTGCCAATGCGACCTGTTAGCCGGGCTGCACCCTTGGTCGTCCTGGCAACAGTCCGAAACACACGCCTGCCAATGCGACCTGTTAGCCGAGCTGCACCCTTGGTCGTCCTGGCAGCAGTCCGTAACACACGCCTGCCAATGCGACCTGTCAACCTGGCTGCACCCTTGGTCGTCCTAGCAACAGTCTTCACCACGCCCCTTCCGATGCGCTTGGTTCCTCTGACGATGCCCTTGGTCGCTCTAGACACCTTTCGCTTGACGCCGCGCACAATGCTACTCACGCCCCACACAGCCCCAGGTGATCGTTCAGTACGAAAGCGATGGAGGCCTTCAAGCTCCTCCAGATCATCACGTGACCAGTCTTCAGCGTCGTCCTCATCCCGCCCATCACTTGCGAAGTAGTCATTATCACCAGTGTCACCCACCTCATCAGCGCCCGTATCATCCATGTCATCCGCATCAAGCAGGACCGCCTGATCGTCCATGACCTCCTGATCGTCCATGATATCATCCTCGTCGAGCATACCGTCATCAGTGTCAAGCATGACATCATCATAATCATGTCCTGCATTGTAATTGATGAACGTGGCGGTGGCAGAAGGACCAGCAGCAGCTGACTGGGTAGTCACTGTAACCATGCCCATGAAGGTGCAGATCAGCAGGGTGCGTACTGCAGCAGACAAGGTCGCACGGGCCATAGTGACGTGGTCCTCTATTGCGTAGAGAGCCTGTACAGTGAGAAGATTGCAAACGAGCACACACTCGGTCTGGAGGACTTTACTAAAATGAATGATGTGTGAAACTGTGGATGTTATTCTCTGAAAATCCGCGTGTGAGAGAATCAGACCAAGGCAAAGATATTCTAAACTACTCACATCGTACGGTGATGGTGTGGTTGATTTTGGCTCCAACATGTTCTGTTTCTCTACTTTGATCATACTCATCCTGTACAGGACAATGCACTCAGCATGTAGTCTATTCTTATTATCCATCATTATTCCTATTATTAGTTTTGATAACCGCAATCAATAAGACAATCTGAATCGACTTTTGTGTATACTTTATTCATGCAATGTAAAATGGTTATTGTCTCCTCGCCGTTTGTTTAAATTATTATTATGCTTTTTCTCTTTTGTTCAAAAACGCTGGATATTGTCAATGATAAATAGGGTAAATGTGGCGCTGAGGCTCTCGGCCAGCTGATTAGCCATGCTTCACAGATTCCTCTGAGGCTGCGGGTATCAGAAGGAGCAATGAAGATTGGCATGCGATCATGGCTAGTACAAAAAGACTAGAAAGGACTACTAGTAAGTTGGCCAGTTGGTTGGAATGGTTTTGACGACATTTGCTCCATGTAACACATACTGCACAATCCCAGTCCAAGTACAGTACACGTACATGTGTGCAGTGCGCTATGCACTGTCAGCGTGACGTCAGAATAAGTCTCTACTTTCTAGTACTGGTAGCACAGATCCGAATTTGAATTCAACAACATGTAAATGTACTGCACTAGGTTTTTGGTGGTTGTCCAATGGAGGCCAAAAGGGACTCGACCAAAGCAATGATTATGTCGAATTTCCTGGAACCCTCGAGCTAGCTGGGGATCGAGTGACGGGCGCGGGCGGGCTTTGCAATGCACGCCGCCATGAACCATTCCGGTGGGCAAACAAGCAAAAACCATTCCGGTGGCTTGACCTATTGGACTGGCTCGGCCACCTCTGCAGTCATGGTGTCGGAGCTCGCTATGGCCAACACTTTAGCATGCATGTGGACTGCAACGCAGAGTATTGATCGATTTATGCGCATCCCTATGGCTACACACAGCACTATACTAGTAATGCCTAAACATAATAATTATTGTCCGAGTTCAGTCCACAAAAGTAATGGCACAAAAGTAATTGCAACCCTACTTAAATTTCATTGAAAAGCTTCTGCTGGTGTACCTAATTAATTTCACCACGCGTGAGCACTCAAGCAAAGACCACAACACCTCAGACTTTACAGGGCCGGCTTACCCGTTTTAGTATGTTGGTGGATAGCACGGTATCTGTTCGTGGGACGTTGCCCTAGACTCCTGTACGAAAGCAAAGCCGAAAGGGTTCCTGTCTTCCACGGGCGCCACCTTCGAGACACCCACACCGTCAACTTCGGGCGTAAAATGACTCCGTCTTTGATGGCACGCGCCGGGTTTTGTTGACTTTGCTACATGACTCCTCCGGTGCTAGCTGCTACACGGCTAGAGAGTGACCCCGCGATTCAAACGGCTCGCTATCGAGCTGCACAGCGAAGTTCTAGCGAAAAGGCGAAAGAGTGTTCTGCAGACGTGAAAATTAGTTGTGAGGTAGTCGCTCATTACGTGCATGTAACGTGGAAATCACACTTCCATTGTTTAGCTTCGCTCCACTGAAGCTCACAGTTTGTTCTTTACACCGCATTTTGCATATTCATTGCCGCCTCGGTGCAGGGCACGGATTGCATGATCGCCACCGCCTTCTAGGATGAAGGTGCAGATGCAGCTCCTAAAGCGATGGGAGGTGAGTAGATCAGACGCACTACCAAAGTGTCAAAGATTGAAAATCCCATTCACTGCACCCATGCATCGTACAAGCAGACAAACGAATGCCCTTTGACCTGCCCTTCGATCTTTGAACGCATATGTACATGATTGTATCTTCAATCATCCCGAAGCAATGGATATCATCATCTTAATCCACACTCTGCATCACATGTACTCTCTAGCCGACCTCGCTCACCACATCAACACCACGGCTCAAAGTTAAAGAAGACATTTGCGGTCATTCATTCACAATGCTCATTGGGTCATACAGATTTGATCAGTGAACTAATGGTTGCGGGAGTACTGAAAGGCGAGAGCTTGCGAATAGCACTCTTTTACTCAATCTCTGAACATGAACAGCTGTTTAAACCTTGCTAGGTCTCCTCAGCAGGGCTCAAAGTTACTGGCAAAACCGATCGCAATGAAGTTGGTTGGGTGGTATAATTATTTTATTTTACTTCACCAGAATGAACAGGCACTGCTGTCTTCTTGCATGGACAAGTGGATTGTCTGTGTGTCTGTGTGTCTGTGTGAGTGGTGTGTGTTGGACATGTTGATTGTCCAAGCTCTCACAAAAAAAGACGAAGAAAGGAAAGAAATATTACATGAGAGTGTGAAGCATGCAATGAAGTCTACTGAAAAACAAAGCAATCTTAGACTGAATTCCAACTCTAACGCCAGAGTGATCTAACTACGATAAACAAACCACACTATAAAAAAATAAAAAAACATAAAACTCCCAATATGCAGTTTTTGTCTTTGCCGGGCAGCTGTGATCATTGTAAAAAAAGAAAAAAAAAAGCGATCTTTGCACTAAAATGCTTCCCCGCTAATTGGATTGAGAGAGAACACATTCGTTGAGTTGCTAACATCACAAGCATGAAGAGGGTTTGAACGCAAAATGGGCAACAATTAACATGAAGCTAGGCCATGAAACAGCTTCTTGTACAGCTGGTGTCCTGTTCCGCAATGTCATGTGCCGAAATGAGTGATATGACAGGCTTCGACGTAAGTGTTACTGAGGCGATTCACCCAGAATCGTGGGCATTCTGCCCAAGGGCAAGACCGGATCGGGTAACAAGTACTAACAAATGAGTGATATTATACTTCGAAGTACTCAGTATAAATTATAGGCTTCGAAGTCAGTGGGGCCGAGGCGATTCACCCAGAATTTTGGGCGTTCTGCCCAATGGCAGGACCGGTTCGGGTAACTAGTAATACCTGATTGCCTGTGGGAAAGTAGTGGATTGCAGAGCACGGGTGAGGTCGACCATGAGCTCGCTTAGCTGGTGAAGTGCTGACAGCTGCAGGGATGTACACCATACTCCTGATGGTCGTTGCGCACCAACTCTGCATGCTCCTCCGGCAACTGCAGTCGAGGCGGAACAGAGAGGAAGTCGTTGACGACGTGTTTGGCATAGTGTGTCCTCAGGCGAAGGCTTCCTTACGCGGCTATACGTGAAGCGTCGAGGCGGCTGTTGCACGCTAACCATATCTCGCATTGAGTAAAGCGTGGAATTGGCCGCCGTGACGGCATTTGGGAAACGGTGGCTGATGACTTGGTGCGCGATTGGTTTCCGGTAGATGCCCGACTGGCAGGTTGTTTGCAGGCTTGCCATGGAGCAGACCACGTCTTGTAGGCGATCTACTAAGCTGATCATATGAGGTGTAGGGTAGGTGACAGATGGCATTGGATAACGGCCATTGTTTGCGTAGTACACGTATGAGTACATGTAGGGAGGACTACGACGGTGTTCATCTTCACTAACCAGTGGTTTGGCTATTCGCTGTGCGAGCCGAAGCCCGTTGAGGACCTGCTTGCCCACCTTGGTGCCCGCGCAGCATGACGGGCCGTAAACAGGCACTGCCATTCCCACCGTGCAGCACAGCCCACCGACCACGTTTACTACTTTCCCCATCTTGTCCAGCACTTTGATGAATTTCTCGTTCAGTAGCATTTTCCTCACTGCCTTTGCCAGGCGTTTGGGGATGAACTTCTTGGCGGCCTTGCTGACAAGCCTACCAGCTCCTTTAGCGACGAGCGAACCGATTCCTTTGCGAATCAGGCCACCTGCTCCTTTCGTTGCTCCAGAGATGACCTTGCGAACGCCCTTCCGCAGGCCCTTGGTTGTCTTGGAGATGATACGGCCGATGCCTTTAGTGGAAATTCCTTTGGTGAGCTTTCCAAGTCCTTTGGAGGTTGCTTTGGCAAGCCGCCCTATCCCCTTTCCAATGCCCTTGCTTGCTCGTCCGATGCCCTTGCTTGCTCGTCCGATGCCCTTAGCAACTCCCTTAGCCGTCCTGGAAACAGTCCTCACCACGCCTTTTGTAACACGACCTGTTAACCTGGCTGCACCCTTGGTCGTCCTAGCAACAGTCTTCACCACGCCCTTTGCGATGCGCTTGGTTCCTCTGACGATGCCCTTGGTCGCTTTAGACACCTTTCGCTTGACGCCGCGCACAATGCGCCTGACGCCCCACCCAGCCACAGGTGATCGTTCAGTACGGAGGCGATCATGGCCTTCAAGCACCTCCAGATCATCACGTGACCAGTCTTCAGCGTCGTCTTCATCCCGCCCATCATGTGCGAAGTAGTCATTATCATCAGTGTCACCCATCTCATCAGCGTCCGTATCATCCATGTGATCAGCATCAAGCAGGACCTCCTGATCGTCCATGACCTCCTGATCGTCCATGACATCATCCTCGTCGAGCATACCGTCATCATTGTGAAGCATGACATCATCATAATCATGTCCTGCATTGTAATTGATGAACGTGGCGGTGGCAGAAGGACCAGCAGCAGCTGACTGGGTTGTCACTGTAACCATGCCCATGAAGGTGCAGATCAGCAGGGCGGATACTGCAGCAGACAAGGTCGCACGGGCCATGATGACGTGGTCCTCTATTCCGTAGAGAGCCTGTACAGTGAGAAGATTGCAAACGAGCACACACTCGGTCTGGAGGACTTTACTAAAATGAATGATGTGTGAAACTGTGGATGTTATTCTCTGAAAATCCGCGTGTGAGAGAATCAGACCAAGGCAAAGATATTCTAAACTACTCACATCGTACGGTGATGGTGTGGTTGATTTTGGCTCCAACATGTTCTGTTTCTCTACTTTGATCATACTCATCCTGTACAGGACAATGCACTCAGCATGTAGTCTATTCTTATTATCCATCATTATTCCTATTATTAGTTTTGATAACCGCAATCAATAAGACAATCTAAATTGACTTTTGTCTATACTTTATTCATGCAATGAAAAATGGTTATTGTCTCCTCGCCGTTTGTTTAAATTATTATTATGCTTTTTCTCTTTTGTTCACAAACGCTGGATATTGTCAATGATAAATAGGGTAAATGTGGCGCTGAGGCCCTCGGCCAGCTGATTAGCCATGCTTCACAGATTACTCTCAGGCTGTGGGTATCAGAAGGAGCAATGAAGATTGGCATGCGATCATGACTAGTACAAAAAGAGGAGAGAAAGGACTGCTAGTAAGTTGGCCAGTTGGTTCTAATGGTTTTGGCGACATTTGCTCCATGTAACACATACTGCACAATCCCAGTCCAAGTGCAGTACACGTACATGTGTGCAGTGCGCTATGCACTGTCAGCGTGACGTCAGAATAAGTCTCTACTTTCTAGTACTGGTAGCACAGATCCGAATTTGACTTCAACAACATGTAAATGCACTGCACTAGGTTTTAGTGGTTGTCCAATGGAGGCAAAAAGGGACTCGACCAAAGCAATGATTATGTCAACTTCCCTGGAACCCTCGAACTAGCTGGGGATCGAGTGACGGGCGAGCTTTGCAATGCACGCCGCCATGAACCATTCCGGTGGGCAAACAAGCAAAAACCATTCCGGTGGCTTGACCTATCGGACTGGCGCCGCCACCTCCGCAGTCATGGTGTCGGAGCTCGCTATGGCCAACACTTTAGCATGCATTGTGGACTGCAACGCAGAGTATTGATCGATTGATGCGCAGCTAGCCCTAAGGGTACACACAGCACTATACGAGTAATGCCTAAACATAATAATTATTGTCCGAGTTCAGTCCACAAAAGTAATTGCAACCCTACTTAAAATTCACTGGCAAGGTTCTGCTGGTGTACATAATTACAGAGGCAATATGCTTTGGTTCTGCAAGAGTGGTCAATGCCTGATTCAGGGAGAGTGAAATAGCCTGTCCCTGTATACATTCACGCGATTACTCCTCTCGCTATCGTATTATCACACCTCTCTCCACTTAGATATACCGGCGCTGCCTCCTATTCCATTATCGTTGTCTGATGCTGAAACTCTGAGTCACAACGGAATTGATGTGCCAAGGTTTTCGTTGTGTGCCTTGGTGTACATAATTAATCTCACTTAAGCAAAGTCCCGAAAACCTCAGACTATACAGGGCCGGCTTACCCTTTCTAGTATGTTGGTGGATAGCACGGTATCTGTTCGTGGGACGTTGCCCTAGACTCCTGCACGAAAGCAAAGCCGAAAGGGTTCCTGTCTTCCACGGGCGCCACCTTCGAGACACCCACACCATCAACTTCGGGCGTACAATGACACACTGTCTTTGATGGCACACGCCGGGTTTTATTGACTTTGCTACATGACTCCTCCGGTGCCAGCTGCTACACGGCTAGAGAGCGACCCCGTAAATCAAACGGCTCGCTATCGAACTGCACAGCGAAGTTCTAGCGAAAAAGGCGAAAGTGTGTTCTGCAGACGTGAAATTGTGAGGCAGTAGCTCATTACCGGTGCGTACATGTGCATGTAGGGTGGAACTCACACTTCGAATGGTTAGCATCACACCACTGAAGCTCACAGTTTGTTCATTACACCGCATTTTGCATATTCATTGCCGCCTCGGTGCAGGGTACGGATTGCATGATCGCCACCGCCTTCTAGGATGAAGGTGCAGATGCAACTCCTAAAGCGATGGGAGGTGAGTAGATCAGACGCACGACCAAAGTGTCAAAGATTGAAAATCCCATTCACTGCACCCATGCATCGCACAAGCAGACAAACGAATGCCCTTTGACCTGCCCTTCGATCTTTTAACGCATATGTACATGATTGTATCTTCAATCATCCCGAAGCAATGGATATCATCATCTTAATCCACACTCTGCATCACAAGTACTCTCTAGCCGACCTCGCTCACCACATCAACACCACGGCTCAAAGTTGAAGAAGACATTTGCGGTCATTCATTCACAATGCTCATTGGGTCATACAGATTTGAGCAGTGAACTAATGGTTGCGGGAGTACTTAAAGGCGAGAGCTTGCGAATAGCACTCTTTTACTCAATCTCTGAACAGGAACAGCTGTTCAAACCTTGCTAGGTCTCCTCAGCAGGGCTCAAAGTTACTGGCAAAACCGATCACAATGAAGTTGGTTGGGTGGTATAATTATTTTATTTTACTTCACCAGAATGAACAGGCACTGCTGTCTTCTTGCATGGACAAGTGGATTGTCTGTGTGTCTGTGTGAGTGGTGTGTGTTGGACATGTTGATTGTCCAAGCTCTCACAAAAAAAGACGAAGAAAGGAAAGAAATATTACATGAGAGTGTGAAGCAAGCAATGAAGTCTACTGAAAACAAAGCAATCTTAGACTGAATTCCAACTCTAACGCCAGAGTGATCTAACTACGATAAACAAACCACACTATAAAAAAATAAAAAAACATAAAACTCCCAATATGCAGTTTTTGTCTTTGCCGGGCAGCTGTGATCATTGTAAAAAAAGAAAAAAAAAAGCGATCTTTGCACTAAAATTCTTCCCCGCTAATTGGATTGAGAGAGAACACATTCGTTGAGTTGCTAACATCACAAGCATGAAGAGGGTTTGAACGCAAAATGGGCAACAATTAACATGAAGCTAGGCCATGAAACAGCTTCTTGTACAGCTGGTGTCCTGTTCCGCAATGTCATGTGCCGAAATGAGTGATATGACAGGCTTCGACGTAAGTGTTACTGAGGCGATTCACCCAGAATCGTGGGCGTTCTGCCCAAGGGCAAGACCGGATCGGGTAACAAGTAATAACAAATGAGTGATATTATAGGCTTCGAAGTCAGTGGGACCGAGGCGATTCACCCCGAATTTTGGGCGTTCTGCCCAAGGGCAGGACCGGTTCGGATAACTAGTAATACCTGATTGCCTGTGGGAAAGTAGTGGATTGCAGAGCACGGGTGAGGTCGACCATGAGCTCGCTTAGCTGGTGAAGTGCTGACAGCTGCAGGGATGCACACCATACTCCTGATGGTCGTTGCGCACCAACTCTGCATGCTCCTCCTGCAACTGCAGTCGAGGCGGAACAGAGAGGAAGTCGTTGACGACGTGTTTGGCATAGTTTGTCCTGAGGCGAAGGCTTCCTTACGCGGCCATACGTGAAGCGTCGAGGCGGCTGTTGCACGCTAACCATATCTCGCATTGAGTAAAGCGTGGAATTGGCCGCTGTGACGGCATTTGGGAAACGGTGGCTGATGACTTGGTGCGCGATTGGTTTCCGGTAGATGCCCGACTGGCAGGTTGTTTGCAGGCTTGCCATGGAGCAGACCACGTCTTGTAGGCGATCTACTAAGCTGATCATATGAGGTGTAGGGTAGGTGACAGATGGCATTGGATAACGGCCATTGTTTGCGTAGGACACGTACAAGTACATGTAGGGAGGACTACGACGGTGTTCATCTTCACTAACCAGTGGTTTGGCTATTCGCTGTGCGAGCCGAAGCCCGTTGAGGACCTGCTGGCCCACCTTGATGCCCGCGCAGCATGACGCGCCGTAAACAGGCACTGCCATTCCCACCGTGCAGCACAGCCCACCGACCACGTTTACTACTTTCCCCATCTTGTCCAGCACTTTGGTGAATTTCTCGTTCAGTAGCGTCTTCCTCACTGCCTTTGCCAGGCGTTTGGGGATGAACTTCTTGGCGGCCTTGCTGACAAGCCTACCAGCTCCTTTAGCGACGAGCGAACCGATTCCTTTGCGAATCAGGCCACCTGCTCCTTTCGTTGCACCAGAGATGACCTTGCGAACGCCCTTCCGCAGGCCCTTGGTTGTCTTGGAGATGATACGGCCGATGCCTTTAGTGGAAATTCCTTTGGTGAGCTTTCCAAGTCCTTTGGAGGTTCCTTTGGCAAGCCGCCCTATCCCCTTTCCAATGCCCTTGCTTGCTCGTCCGATGCCCTTGCTTGCTCGTCCGATGCCCTTAGCAACTCCCTTAGCCGTCCTGGAAACAGTCCTCACCACGCCTTTTGTAACACGACCTGTTAACCTGACTGCACCCTTGGTCGTCCTAGCAACAGTCTTCACCACGCCCTTTGCGATGCGCTTGGTTCCTCTGACGATGCCCTTGGTCGCTTTAGACACCTTTCGCTTGACGCCGCGCACAATGCGCCTGACGCCCCACCCAGCCACAGGTGATCGTTCAGTACGGAGGCGATCATGGCCTTCAAGCACCTCCAGATCATCACGTGACCAGTCTTCAGCGTCGTCTTCATCCCGCCCCTCACGTGCGAAGTAGTCATTATCACCAGTGTCACCCATCTCATCAGCGTCCGTATCATCCATGTGATCAGCATCAAGCAGGACCTCCTGATCGTCCATGACCTCCTGATCGTCCATGATATCATCCTCGTCGAGCATACCGTCATCAGTGTCAAGCATGACATCATCATAATCATGTCCTGCATTGTAATTGATGAACGTGGCGGTGGCAGAAGGACCAGCAGCAACTGATTGGGTAGTCACTGTAACCATGCCCATGAAGGTGCAGATCAGCAGGGCAGATACTGCAGCAGACAAGGTCGCACGGGCCATGATGACGTGGTCCTCTATTCCGTAGAGAGCCTGTACAGTGAGAAGATTGCAAACGAGCACACACTCGGTCTGGAGGACTTTACTAAAATGAATGATGTGTGAAACTGTGGATGTTATTCTCTGAAAATCCGCGTGTGAGAGAATCAGACCAAGGCAAAGATATTCTAAACTACTCACATCGTACGGTGATGGTGTGGTTGATTTTGGCTCCAACATGTTCTGTTTCTCTACTTTGATCATACTCATCCTGTACAGGACAATGCACTCAGCATGTAGTCTATTCTTATTATCCATCATTATTCCTATTATTAGTTTTGATAACCGCAATCAATAAGACAATCTGAATCGACTTTTGTGTATACTTTATTCATGCAATGTAAAATGGTTATTGTCTCCTCGCCGTTTGTTTAAATTATTATTATGCTTTTTCTCTTTTGTTCAAAAACGCTGGATATTGTCAATGATAAATAGGGTAAATGTGGCGCTGAGGCCCTCGGCCAGCTGATTAGCCATGCTTCACAGATTCCTCTGAGGCTGCGGGTATCAGAAGGAGCAATGAAGATTGGCATGCGATCATGGCTAGTACAAAAAGACTAGAAAGGACTACTAGTAAGTTGGCCAGTTGGTTGGAATGGTTTTGGCGACATTTGCTCCATGTAACGCATACTGCACAATCCTAGTCCAAGTACAGTACACGTACATGTGTGCAGTGCGCTATGCACTGTCAGCGTGACGTCAGAATAAGTCTCTACTTTCTAGTACTGGTAGCACAGATCCGAATTTGAATTCAACAACATGTAAATGTACTGCACTAGGTTTTTGGTGGTTGTCCAATGGAGGCCAAAAGGGACTCGACCAAAGCAATGATTATGTCGAATTTCCTGGAACCCTCGAGCTAGCTGGGGATCGAGTGACGGGCGGGCTTTGCAATGCACGCCGCCATGAACCATTCCGGTGGGCAAACAAGCAAAAACCATTCCGGTGGCTTGACCTATTGGACTGGCTCCGCCACCTCTGCAGTCATGGTGTCGGAGCTCGCTATGGCCAACACTTTAGCATGCATGTGGACTGCAACGCAGAGTATTGATCGATTTATGCGCATCCCTATGGCTACACACAGCACTATACTAGTAATGCCTAAACATAATAATTATTGTCCGAGTTCAGTCCACAAAAGTAATGGCACAAAAGTAATTGCAACACTACTTAAATTTCATTGAAAAGCTTCTGCTGGTGTACCTAATTAATTTCACCACGCGTGAGCACTCAAGCAAAGACCACAACACCTCAGACTTTACAGGGCCGGCTTACCCGTTTTAGTATGTTGGTGGATAGCACGGTATCTGTTCGTGGGACGTTGCCCTAGACTCCTGTACGAAAGCAAAGCCGAAAGGGTTCCTGTCTTCCACGGGCGCCACCTTCGAGACACCCACACCGTCAACTTCGGGCGTAAAATGACTCCGTCTTTGATGGCACGCGCCGGGTTTTGTTGACTTTGCTACATGACTCCTCCGGTGCTAGCTGCTACACGGCTAGAGAGTGACCCCGCGATTCAAACGGCTCGCTATCGAGCTGCACAGCGAAGTTCTAGCGAAAAGGCGAAAGAGTGTTCTGCAGACGTGAAAATTAGTTGTGAGGTAGTCGCTCATTACGTGCATGTAACGTGGAAATCACACTTCCATTGTTTAGCTTCGCTCCACTGAAGCTCACAGTTTGTTCTTTACACCGCATTTTGCATATTCATTGCCGCCTCGGTGCAGGGTACGGATTGCATGATCGCCACCGCCTTCTAGGATGAAGGTGCAGATGCAGCTCCTAAAGCGATGGGAGGTGAGTAGATCAGACGCACTACCAAAGTGTCAAAGATTGAAAATCCCATTCACTTCACCCATGCATCGTACAAGCAGACAAACGAATGCCCTTTGACCTGCCCTTCGATCTTTGAACGCATATGTACATGATTGTATCTTCAATCATCCCGAAGCAATGGATATCATCATCTTAATCCACACTCTGCATCACATGTACTCTCTAGCCGACCTCGCTCACCACATCAACACCACGGCTCAAAGTTAAAGAAGACATTTGCGGTCATTCATTCACAATGCTCATTGGGTCATACAGATTTGATCAGTGAACTAATGGTTGCGGGAGTACTGAAAGGCGAGAGCTTGCGAATAGCACTCTTTTACTCAATCTCTGAACATGAACAGCTGTTTAAACCTTGCTAGGTCTCCTCAGCAGGGCTCAAAGTTACTGGCAAAACCGATCGCAATGAAGTTGGTTGGGTGGTATAATTATTTTATTTTACTTCACCAGAATGAACAGGCACTGCTGTCTTCTTGCATGGACAAGTGGATTGTCTGTGTGTCTGTGTGTCTGTGTGAGTGGTGTGTCAAAAAGTATTCTTTCTAGACCAAAGAGTGGTATATTTGATAACATTTAATAACGATAGAAATTTTTACGATACTTCTCCAGACGTTTCGTTGTTCTGAACAACATCGTCAGTGGATAAAGAATCTTCTTCTTCTTTATCCACTGACGATGTTGTTCAGAACAACGAAACGTCTGGAGAAGTATCGTAAAAATTTCTATCGTTATTAAATGTTATCAAATATACCACTCTTTGGTCTAGAAAGAATACTTTTTGATATTACAATGAGAGTGAATAATCAACGGCTTGTCCACCAACTCTTTGAGTGGTGTGTGTTGGACATGTTGATTGTCCAAGCTCTCACAAAAAAAGACGAAGAAAGGAAAGAAATATTACATGAGAGTGTGAAGCATGCAATGAAGTCTACTGAAAAACAAAGCAATCTTAGACTGAATTCCAACTCTAACGCCAGAGTGATCTAACTACGATAAACAAACCACACTATAAAAAAATAAAAAACATAAAACTCCCAATATGCAGTTTTTGTCTTTGCCGGGCAGCTGTGATCATTGTAAAAAAAGAAAAAAAAAAGCGATCTTTGCACTAAAATGCTTCCCCGCTAATTGGATTGAGAGAGAACACATTCGTTGAGTTGCTAACATCACAAGCATGAAGAGGGTTTGAACGCAAAATGGGCAACAATTAACATGAAGCTAGGCCATGAAACAGCTTCTTGTACAGCTGGTGTCCTGTTCCGCAATGTCATGTGCCGAAATGAGTGATATGACAGGCTTCGACGTAAGTGTTACTCAGGCGATTCACCCAGAATCGTGGGCGTTCTGCCCAAGGGCAAGACCGGATCGGGTAACAAGTAATAACAAATGAGTGATATTATAGGCTTCGAAGTCAGTGGGACCGAGGCGATTCACCCCGAATTTTGGGCGTTCTGCCCAAGGGCAGGACCGGTTCGGGTAACTAGTAATACCTGATTGCCTGTGGGAAAGTAGTGGATTGCAGAGCACGGGTGAGGTCGACCATGAGCTCGCTTAGCTGGTGAAGTGCTGACAGCTGCAGGGATGCACACCATACTCCTGATGGTCGTTGCGCACCAACTCTGCATGCTCCTCCTGCAACTGCAGTCGAGGTGGAACAGAGAGGAAGTCGTTGACGACGTGTTTGGCATAGTTTGTCCTGAGGCGAAGGCTTCCTTACGCGGCCATACGTGAAGCGTCGAGGCGGCTGTTGCACGCTAACCATATCTCGCACTGAGTAAAGCGTGGAATTGGCCGCTGTGACGGCATTTGGGAAATGGTGGCTGATGACTTGGTGCGCGATTGGTTTCCGGTAGATGCCTGACTGGCAGGTTGTTTGCAGGCTTGCCATGGAGCAGACCACGTCTTGTAGGCGATCTACTAAGCTGATCATATGAGGTGTAGGGTAGGTGACAGATGGCATTGGATAACGGCCATTGTTTGCGTAGTACACGTACAAGTACATGTAGGGAGGACTACGACGGTGTTCATCTTCACTAACCAGTGGTTTGGCTATTCGCTGTGCGAGCCTAAGCCCGTTGAGGACCTGCTTGCCCACCTTGGCGCCCTTGCAGCATGACACGCCGTATACAGGCACTGCCATTCCCACCGTGCAGCACAGCCCACCGACCACGTTTACTACTTTCCCCATCTTGTCCACCACCTTGATGAATTTCTCGTTCAGTAGCGTCTTCCTCACTGCCTTTGCCAGGCGTTTGGGGATGAACTTCTTGGCGGCCTTGCTGACAAGCCTACCAGCTCCTTTAGCGACGAGCGAACCGATTCCTTTGGCAATCAGGCCACCTGCTCCTTTCGTTGCTCCAGAGATGACCTTGCGAACGCCCTTCCGCAGGCCCTTGGTTGTCTTGGAGATGATACGGCCGATGCCTTTAGTGGAAATTCCTTTGGTGAGCTTTCCAAGTCCTTTGGAGGTTCCTTTGGCAAGCCGCCCTATCATCAGCGTCCGTATCATCCATGTGATCAGCATCAAGCAGGACCTCCTGATCGTCCATGACCTCCTGATCGTCCATGATATCATCCTCGTCGAGCATACCGTCATCAATGTCAAGCATGACATCATCATAATCATGTCCTGCATTGTAATTGATGAACGTGGCGGTGGCAGAAGGACCAGCAGCAGCTGACTGGGTTGTCACTGTAACCATGCCCATGAAGGTGCAGATCAGCAGGGCGCATACTGCAGCAGACAAGGTCGCACGGGCCATAGTGACGTGATCCCCTATTCCATAGAGAGCCTGTACAGTGAGAAGATTGCAAACAAGCACACCCTTGGTCTGAAGGACTTTACTAAAATTAAGGATGTGTGAAACTGTGGATGTTATTCTCTGAAAATCCGCCTGTGAGAGAATCAGACCAAGGCAAGTATAATTTAAACTACTCAAATCGTCAAGTGGTGGTGTGGGTGATTTTGGCTCCAACATGTTCTGTTTCTCTACTTTGATCAAACTCATCCTGTACAGGACAATGTACTTAGGATGCAGTCTATTATTATCCATCATTATTACTATTATTAATTTTGATAACCACAATCAATAAGACAAGCTGAATCGACTTTTGTCTACACTTTATTCATGCAATGTAAAATGGGTATTGTCTCCTCGCCGTTTGTTTAAATTATTATTATGCTTTTCTCTTTTGTTCGCAAACGCCGGATATTGCCAATGAAGATAGGGTAAATGTGGCGCTGAGGCCCTTGGCCAGCTGATTAGCCATGCTTCACAGATTCCTCTGAGGCTGTGGGTATCAGAAGGAGCAATGAAGATTGGCATGCGATCATGACTAGTACAAAAAGAGGAGAGAAAGGACCACTAGTAAGTTGGCCAGTTGGTTCTAATGGTTTTGACGACATTAGCTCCATGTAACACATACTGCACAATCCCAGTCCAAGTACAGTACACGTACATGTGTGCAGTGCGCTATGCACTGTCAGCGTGACGTCAGACTATGTCTCTACTTTCTAGTAGTACTGGTAGCACAGATCCGATTTTGAATTCAACAACATGTAAATGTACTGCACTAGGTTTTTGGTGGTTGTCCAATGGAGGCCAAAAGGGACTCGACCAAAGCAATGATTATGTCGAATTTCCTGGAACCCTCGAACTAGCTGGGGATCGAGTGACGGGCGGGCTTTGCAATGCACGCCGCCATGAACCATTCCGGTGGGCAAACAAGCAAAAACCATTCCCGTGGCTTGACCTATCGGACTGGCTCCGCCACCTTCGCAGTCATGGTGTCGGAGCTCGCTATGGCCAACACTTTAGCATGCATTGTGGACTGCAACGCAGAGTATTGATCGATTGATGCGCATCCCTATGGCTACACACAGCACTACACCAGTAATGCGTAAACATCATAATAATAATATTATTATTGTCCGAGTTCAGTCCACAAAAGAAATGGCAACACTACTTAAAATTCACTGACAAGCTTCTGCTGGTGTACATAATTACAGAGGCAATATGCTTTGGTTCTGCAAGAGTGCTCAATGCCTGATTCAGGCAGAGTGAAATAGCCTGTCCCTGTATACATTCACGCGATTACTCCTCTCGCTATCGTATTATCACACCTCTCTTCACTTAGATATACTAGCGCTGCCTCCTATTCCATTATCGTTGTCTGATGATTGGTTCAGCCATGAAACTCTGAGAAACAACGGAATTAATTTCCCAAGGTTTTCATTGAGTGCCTTGGTGTACATAATTAATCTCACCACGCATGAGCACTCAAGCAAATAACCCAAACCCTCAGACTATACAGGGCCGGCTTACCCTTTCTAGTATGTTGGTGGATAGCACGGTATCTGTTCGTGGGACGTTGCCCTAGACTCCTGTATGAAAGCAAAGCCGAAAGGGTTCCTGTCTTCCACGGGCGCCACCTTCGAGACACCCACACCGTCAACTTCGGGCGTAAAATGACTCCGTCTTTGATGGCACGCGCCGGGTTTTGTTGACTTTGCTACATGACTCCTCCGGTGCTAGCTGCTACACGGCTAGAGATCGACCCCGTAAATCAAACGGCTGGCTATCACAACTGCACAGCGAAGTTCTAGCGAAAAAGGCGAAAGTGTGTTCTGCAGACGCGAAATTGTGAGGCAGTAGTTCATTACGTACATGTACATGTAGCGTGCCACTCACACTTCCAATGGTTAGCTAGCATCGCACCACTGAAGCTCACAGTTTGTTCATTACACCGCATTTTGCATATTCATTGCCGCCTCGGTGCATGGTACGGATTGCATTGTTGTTTGGTGCCGATCGCTGTTCCCGTGTATGGATAAAAAGTTTAAACAACTGCAGCGTGACCTGAACAGCCTGGTCGTAAATTTCATAATATTATGGCATTCAATTGACAGTAACTTTGGTGTATCTCAATAGATTTGAGTAATTTTTCTACCACACACTCCTGCCACTATCCTGGCCCTCTGGACATGATTTAAAAGTTCTTGCGCCTCACTGACAGGCTTTCCAGGCCGGAAAAACTCAACATTCCGGCATAGTGCCACGGTGTGCGAGTCACCCAGGAGCCAAAAAATGCATTTACAATTTTTTCACATTTTCTTGCCCATTCTGTCCGTGCGCGGGATCCAAACCTAAAAATGTCCAGAAGCAGCCATGGGTGGTGGGAAAGGGCCCCTCAACGTGGCCCTGGAATCTGTCACAACGGCAGGAGTGAGCGTTTTCTCACAGACTCCCACAGGCCCAAGTCAATATTTGATTTTTTTTAGGTTTGGGGCGTGCTACGAGGTCATACATTTGATACAACATCCAGTGCTGGAACCTCCACAGCAAGCCATTTCCACAGCGCTGTAAACCAAA